TATTTATCGCTTTACGTCACAGCATTATGAAACCTTCAGCTTCATTTGCTATTTTGTCCTTCAGTTTGTTGAACTGTATGTGTTGTCATTGCCAACACTATTGTTTATTTCAATAGAAGCTTTCAATGGCTTACTCATCATTATCAGTTTTCTAATACAAGAAATATAAACAAATTAAAACATTTTTGTACTAGAAAACTGATGATGATGGCTAAGCCATCCAAAGCTGCTATTGAAGTAAATAATGTTGTTTGCAATGACAACTCATATAATTATTTCAATTTAAATGCCAGTGATAACTCACCACAATATCAATATTCAATTAGCTGGTTAAAAGGATCCTCTTCTTGTTCGCATATCGTAGAAATCGTGTCAACGGAATTCAATGGTCTATTGAGTAGGTCGAGATTACAATTTTTTTGTAAAATTAATATTTAACTTGGGAATTTGAGTAACATTAAAATTACATTTTTTGTTTTGTATTTTGTTATTCGTAAATAATATGCATTAATATTGAATGGTATATTTATCACTGTAGTGTTCTAGAAGTCCATAAAATTTACAAACTTGCTTACATGTTTCATTTCCCTTCCGGTAAAAACCACTACTTCTAATTCATGCATTCGTGCTCTTTCTTATAAAAATTAGTTTCTTCACGATCGTAAAACCATGCATTTGGGGGCCGTTTACCACTTTTTACAAGTTAGTTTCTTAAACTTTGAAGAGGTTTATCGACTCAGTAATATTTAAGAAACTAACCCTATCAGATGATCTGGAACATATTCAATGACATACCAAGCTTTTTTCTCTATGGATAGATACTTACTATGTGATGCTTCGATCTCCAGAGCGTACGCATTTCATATGACAATATTGCTTTTTTATTGAAAGATAAATTTGAAGCATGATTTATGGCATATACACAAAATGCTATTAACGAGAAAGCAATGTCATGCGTGTGCATGCATGCGTGCGTTTTAAACATCAGTAATTCTAAAATATCGTTTCAGAGATGTTTTGGTTCACAGTTCTATTTTAATCAGTTTAGAAATTGGTAGTGTAATCTATTTCTATTCTAATGCAAGAATGAACCCGCCCAAGTCTAAATTTAATAGTTTTAATAGCGATCGTTTACGAAAAACCCGTCACGTAGTATTAATAGCATTGATTGCACTTTTAATTTATTCCAATATTGCAAATGAAATACGTACTCCTGTGATCGAAGGCATCTTTCACAAGGTACATCACTAAAGCACATAAATGAAAACTCACCAATGATGATTTAATAATTAAGTTTGATGATATAGCTTCCTTCGATAATGGTACTCACCTGCAACAAGAGAAACATAATTTAGTACACTTTCTTTAAGTTTAAGAAGACCCTTAGTTACCAGATTTTACTAAGTATGTCTGATTGAATTAATATTGCTGCAACAAAAAATTGTTACTTTTAATCAGGAATTTAAAAACAGGTTTTTATACTCTTGGTTTATTGCGTAATAATTTGTCTCGGATAAATTTTATTTTTAGTTGTCTTCTCAAGCTAGCATGTGCGCATTTTAAGAGGGATTTTATACAACAACTTCTCAACTGTAACGTATGCACACTTATTCACTTAAATGTCCATGCACATTCATTCCACCTACCCCCCCTCCCAAATGTCAGGGTCACTAAAACGTAGGCTTAGGCATTCAAACGATCTTATTTTTTTGATTTACTCGTCCCTCACCCCTCGTCCTTCGCAGTTTGCCGCAGGTTCTTCGCCTCTCTCTCCTCACCCTTAAACTGTCTTTCGTTCGCCCATGGCCTTCCACATTTCGCCGTCAGCCGTGCACCTCTCACCATCTCTCACACCATACCCATAGCGCTTCGCCCATCGCCTAGCATCCCTCGGTGCACATCCCTATTTTTACTGCATACACCATACGTCACACATCAGCGTTTATCGCACGTCTAATGACTCAAGCCCACACCAACCTAGACTCTGCTCCCTCGCGCCCCCTATATCCCACGCCCTCGACTCCTTAACAGACGATATACTAGGTTTTACCAACTACCAGGTTCATTAGTCCCGTAAGTGTAATGCATGTTTTGCTCGTGAGGTGGCGGTGATCTTTTCCCCCTTTGTATGGCGAGATCAGGCGCCGACCTACCGTCGGCTAGCGGGGTTTTCCCCAGCGGAGCACAGACCCAGTCGGGACAACCTCTTAGCTCCCGACCAGTCTCCCGGCATGTTTGCTTGTGTAGTGCGTGTTAGTACACGGTGTGTATAAGGGAACAGAATAGTACAAGGAAGAAGTAGGAAAGATCGCGCGCGGCCCATGGCCCGTTTCGTAGGGTACTGCTCCGACATTCGCCTGAGTGTTGGTGGGAGAAACCACGGGAAAGTACCAATCCGAGCAGCCGACCGCCAATATTCTCATTCAGACAGAGGCTGAATTCGATCTAGCTGACACGCGAGTGTCAAATATCCTGCCACAATCGTGACTCGAACCTAGGACCTAAATGTCAGAGGGACTGCAGTGACATTATTTAATGCCTTGTGCCACCTCTCCCGGTAAATAAATCGTAGTATAACACGCCCGCCCTCCGAACACTACGCGTCACGTCGGGGCGTGCAGTTCGGGAAACGCGTAGAATATGGGAACGGTCCACTTGTCGCGTCCTCGGGGCTCGGCGCGAGGCGAGGACGCGCGCCTGCTGCAGCGGCGGGGGCTGCTGGGGCGAGAGAGCTCGTGGGC